TAGACTATAGACTAGACTATAGACTAGACTATAGACTAGTCTACAGTCTAGACTATAGACTAGACTATAGACTAGACTGTAGACTAGACTATAGACTAGACTATAGACTAGACTATAGACTAGACTATAGACTAGACTATAGACTAGACTATAGACTAGACTATAGACTAGACTATAGACTAGACTATAGACTAGACTATAGACTAGACTATAGACTAGACTATAGACTAGACTATAGACTAGACTATAGACTAGACTATAGACTAGACTATAGACTAGACTATAGACTAGACTATAGACTAGACTATAGACTAGACTAGACTAGACTATAGACTAGACTATAGACTAGACTATAGACTAGACTATAGACTAGACTATAGACTAGACTATAGACTAGACTATAGACTAGACTATAGACTAGACTATAGACTAGGCTATAGACTAGACTATAGACTAGACTATAGACTAGACTATAGACTAGACTATAGACTAGACTATAGACTAGACTATAGACTAGACTAGACTAGACTATAGACTAGACTATAGACTAGACTATAGACTAGACTATAGACTAGACTATAGACTAGACTATAGACTAGACTATAGACTAGACTATAGACTAGACTATAGACTAGACTATAGGCTAGACTATAGACTAGACTATAGACTAGACTATAGACTAGACTATAGACTAGACTATAGACTAGGCTATAGACTAGACTATAGACTAGACTATAGACTAGACTATAGACTAGACCAGCGGTTCCCACAGATTTTTACTTCGCGGACCCCTTGAAGAACTTATTTAATTTCGAGGACCCCCATACATATTTTTTTCCCGTACATTGAGAAATATAATATTTCAGATAGGTTTTCAATTGCATGTTTTGAAGATAGAATGACTTCTTTGTTGATATGTTAACATGATGTTTAATTTTATGATCGTGAGATCTTTCATGTTCATTTTTCTTCAAGGTAGCAAAAAGGTTTCTTTATCAAATATTGTCACATGTGCTTAAGGAGTCACGTTTCAAAAATTTGTTGCGATTGCAAAGGGTGAACTGAGTAAGTGAGTAAGTTTTCGGGAAAATAATATAAGAAAGTTGGACTTCTTCTATGTTGTTGCGGAATGCGTTATCCGCATAATATATGATTTGAACTCTTTGTTAAAGTACTGTGAATTTGGAACTTAAATTTGAATTTTAAAATACCAACGAATGATTTTACTTCATGGTTTTTGGCTACATATTTACGCGAAACGCTATGGATTTTCTGATGTTAATTTAATAATATGTATTGGTCGACAAAATCAAGTTAAAATCTGTGTATCACGTCGGATTGGAATATTTATAAAGAGATGGATAAAGAGTCACCTCTATTTTGGAAATATATAATTTTAGTCCTTTCAAACGAGAACACTTTTGCTTACAATTTGATAAACTTAAATCTGTAATAAGCTTGTCTTTGAATTGAACTTCATACTCCGGAATACCAGTTTTTTATTTATGTTTATTCATGGTTTTTTTTCGTTCGTCTTCGCGGACCCCCTAGGATTTTACTACGGACCACTAGGGGTCCGCGGACCCCCATTTGGGAACCGTTGGACTAGACTATAGACTAGACTATAGAGTAGACTATAGACTAGACTATAGACTAGACTATAGACTAGACTATAGACTAGACTATAGACTAGACTATAGACTAGACTATAGACTAGACTATAGACTAGACTATAGACTAGACTATAGACTAGACTATAGACTAGACTATAGACTAGACTATAGACTAGACTATAGACTAGACTATAGACTAGACTATAGACTAGACTATAGACTAGACTGTAGACTAGACTATAGACTAGACTGTAGACTAGACTATACTAGACTATAGACTAGACATAGACTAGACTATAACTAGACATAGACTAGACTATAGACTAGACTATAGACTAGACTATAGACTAGACTATAGACTAGACTATAGACTAGACTATAGACTAGACTATAGACTAGACTATAGACTAGACTATAGACTAGACTATAGACTAGACTATAGACTAGACTATAGACTAGACTATAGACTAGACTATAGACAGATTATAGACTAGACTATAGACTAGACTATAGACTAGACTTAGACTAGACTATAGACTAGACTATAGACTAGACTATAGACTAGACTATAGACAGACTATAGACTAGACTATAGACTAGACTATAGACTAGACTATAGACTGACTAAGACTAGACTATAGACTAGACTATAGACTAGACTATAGACTAGACTATAGACTAGACTATATACTAGACTATAGACTGACTATAGACTAGACATAGACTAGACTATAGACTAGACTATAGACTAGACTAGATAGACTTAGACTAGAGACTAGACTATAGACTAGACTAGACTAGACTATAGACTGAGACTATAGACTAGACTATAGACTAGACTATAGACTAGACTATAGACTAGACTATAGACTAGACTATAGACTAGACTATAGACTAGACTATAGACTAGACTATAGACTAGACTATAGACTAGACTATAGACTAGACTATAGAGACTAGACTAGACTATAGACTAGACTATAGACTAGACTATAGACTAGACTATAGACTAGACTATAGACTAGACTATAGACTAGACTATAGACTAGACTATAGACTAACTATAGACTAGACTATAGACTAGACTATAGACTAGACTATAGACTAGACTATAGACTAGACTAACTAGCTAAGACTAGACTATAGACTAGACTATAGACTAGACTATAGACTAGACTATAGACTAGACTATAGACTAGACTATAGACTAGACTATAGACTAGACTATAGACTAGACTATAGACTAGACTATAGACTAGACTATAGACTAGACTATAGACTAGACTATAGACTAGACTATAGACTAGACTATAGACTAGACTATAGACTAGACTATAGACTAGACTATAGACTAGACTATAGACTAGACTATAGACTAGACTAGACTATAGACTAGACTATAGACTAGACTATAGACAGACTATAGACTAGACTATAGACTAGACTATAGACTAGACTATAGACTAGGACTATAGACTAGACTATAGACTAGACTATAGACTAGACTATAGACTAGACTATAGACTAGACTATAGACTAGACTATAGACTAGACTATAGACTAGACTATAGACTAGACTATAGACTAGACTATAGACTAGACTATAGACTAGACTATAGACTAGACTATAGACTAGACTATAGACTAGACTATAGACTAGACTATAGACTAGACTATAGGACTAGACTATAGACTAGACTATAGACTAGACTATAGGACTAGACTATAGACTAGACTATAGACTAGACTATAGACTAGACTATAGACTAGACTATAGACTAGACTATAGACTAGACTATAGACTAGACTATAGACTAGACTATAGACTAGACTATAGACTAGACTATAGACTAGACTAGACTATAGACTAGACTATAGACTAGACTATAGACTAGACTATAGACTAGACTAGACTATAGACTAGACTATAGACTAGACTATAGACTAGACTATAGACTAGACTATAGACTAGACTATAGACTAGACTATAGACTAGACTATAGACTAGACTATAGACTAGACTATAGACTAGACTATAGACTAGACTATAGACTAGACTATAGACTAGACGGACTAGACTATAGACTAGACTATAGACTAGACTATAGACTAGACTATAGACTAGACTATAGACTAGACTATAGACTAGACTAGACTAGACTATAGACTAGACTATAGACTAGATATAGACTAGACTATAGACTAGACTATAGACTAGACTATAGACTAGACTATAGACTAGACTATAGACTAGACTATAGACTAGACTATAGACTAGACTATAGACTAGACTATAGACTAGACTATAGACTAGACTATAGACTAGACTATAGACTAGACTATAGACTAGACTATAGACTAGACTATGACGATAGACTAGACTATGACTAGACTATAGACTAGACTATAGACTAGACTATAGACTAGACTATAGACTAGACTATAGACTAGACTATAGACTAGACTATAGACTAGACTATAGACTAGACTATAGACTAGACTATAGACTAGACTATAGACTAGACTATAGACTAGACTATAGACTAGACTATAGACTAGACTATAGACTAGACTATAGACTAGACTATAGACTAGACTATAGACTAGACTATAGACTAGACTATAGACTAGACTATAGACTAGACTATAGACTAGACTATAGACTAGACTATAGACTAGACTATAGACTAGACTATAGACTAGACTATAGACTAGACTATAGACTAGACTATAGACTAGACTATAGACTAGACTATAGACTAGACTATAGACTAGACTATAGACTAGACTATAGACTAGACTATAGACTAGACTATAGACTAGACTATAGACTAGACTATAGACTAGACTATAGACTAGACTATAGACTAGACTATAGACTACAGTCTATAGACTACAGTCTATAGACTACAGTCTATAGACTAGTCTATAGACTAGTCTATAGTCTAGTCTAGTCTATAGACTGTAGACCTTCCCTTTTATTAAAATGTTATTCAATTTTTTTTTATAATTTTTTCGTTTTTTAAAAATATCGTTTTTTATTTTCTCTTACTTAATACTAAATAACAATAAATTCTTAAAGCTAACGTCAAAACTAAATTTAAAATTACAAGCGTATACAAAATGTAAAATAAGAATAAATTTACAAGAAATATAAGAAGCATGTTTCACATACAAAACTTAAACTTGAGTATATTTATGAAAAAAAAAACAAATAATTAACAATTCAATGAAAATAAAATAAATTTAAAACATTTGTTTAAAAATTTTTTTTTAAAGGCTAAGGTTTTGGTAGACATTTTTTCTATAATAAATTATAAACTTATAAATAATAATAATATAAATAATTAATAAAAAAAAAATTGTACATTAATTTGCGTTTTTTTAAAAAGACATTAATATTTGGTTTTTAACAAAAGTTTTCTTATGGAAAAAAGCTTCTTTTTGTTTCGTTGGTTTTCTTTCTGCTACTGCGGGGGCGGGGTTTCCTTCCAAGATTTGAAATCTTGATTTCACTTTTTTTTAACAACTAAACAGTCTTAATTTATAAGTATTTGTTTGTTTGGTTTTTCTAATTAACTACATTGTTTGGGGAAGAATACATTCATTTCGATTAGTATTTGTAAAACGATAAACACCACATAGACTATAAAGAGCAGCAGACCCACTCGCTTGGTTAGACGATAACCACTTAAACTCAGGCCCACGAAGAGTGTTAAAGTGCACAGCATTAGAATTAAAATACTGTATTCTATACCCTGAGCAGCAATTTTGATTCGGTTCATACCATCAGCCATGCCATAGTTCATGCAATTCTTGATAAACCATGGTACACCTAGGGACAGAAGAATGGCCAAGGAATTGGCACCCAATGAATTAGAGACACCAATACCACTTTCACCTGCAAAAACAAAAACAATGAAATTTTAATTAAAATTATAAAATTTCCTATAAATAGAAATAAGAGAGCAATATGGTTACTTTTCTATACTATTTTTGAGCAGTAACGAGTATTTCGCCAAGTGGTTACTTTTTCTTAATAATGAAATTTAACAAAAAATTTCTTTAGCACTGAGATTCTCCTAAATTTCTAATAAAATTCGGCTAAAAATGTGTAGCGAATATCGGTTACTTAACTTATATTTAAGCGGTTACTCGCTTAAAATGTTAAAATTTTCCAACAAAACTACTTTTATAACAATTCTTATTCAATTTAAATGCTTTTGGGTAAAGTAACCAGTAATTTTCAAAGTGGTTACTTTTTCTTATTAATGCAATTAAACACGAAATTGCATTACCAATGAGTTTCTCTTGGAATTCTAATAAAATTCCTGTAAAAATGTTTACGAATACCGGTTACTTAAACTATTATTAAGCGGTTACTCGCCTAAAATGTAAGAATTTTTGGATAAAAGTTATTTTTCTTCAATAATATAGCAATTTAAAGAAGTTTGAGCCTAATAACGAGTAATTTGCAAAGCGGTTACTTTTTCTTAATAATGAAGTTAAACACAAAATTTCATTACCAATAAGTTTCTCTTGAAATTCTATTAAAATTACGCTAAAAATTTTCATCGAATACCGGTTACTTAAACTATTTTTAAGCGGTTACTCGTCTAAATTATAAGAATTTCTGGGTAAAAGTTATTTTTCATTAATACAAAAGAAATTTAAAAAAGTTTGAGCCTAAACGAGTACTTTATAAAGTGGTTACTTTACGAATACCGGTTACTTAAACTATTTTTAAGTGGTTACTCTTTTAAAATATAAGAATTTTTGGGTAAAAGTCAGTTTTCATCAATACTAATGAAATATAAAGAAGTTTGAGACTAATAACGGGTACTTTACAAAGTGATTACTTTACGAATACCGATTACTTAAACTATTTTTAAGCGGTTACTCGCTTAAAATTTAAGAATTTTTGGCTAAATATTAATTTTTATTAATACTAAAGAAGTTTGAGCCTAATAACGAGTATTTTACAAAGTGGTTACTCTACGAATACCGGTTACTTAAAATATTTTAAAGCGGTTATTGGCCTAAAATATAAGAATTTTTGGGTAAACCTCAGTTTTCGTCAGAAATTTGAGCCTAATAACGAATACTTTACAAAGTGGTTACTCTACTAATACCGATTACTTAAACTAATAAGCGGTTACTCGTCTAAAATATAAGAATATTTGGGTAATAGTCAGTTTTCATCAATACTAAAGAAACTTAAAGAAGTTTGAGACTAAAAACGAGTAATTTTTTAAGTGGTTTCTTTGCGAATATTGGTTACTTAAACTATTTTTAAGCGGTTACTCGCCTAAAATATAAGAATTTTTGGGTTAAAGTTAGTTTTCATCAATACTAAAGAAATTTAAAGAAGTTTGAGACTAATAATGAGTACTTTACAAAGTATTTACTTTGCGAATACCGGTTACTTAAACTATTTTTAAGCGGTTACTCGCCTAAAATTTAGGAATTTTTGGGTAAAATTTATTTTTAATCAATACTAAAGAAATTTAAAGAAGTTTGAGCCTAATAACGAGTATTTTACAAAGTGGTTACATTACGAATACCGGTTACTTAAACTATTTTTAAGCGGTTACTCGCCTAAAATTTAGGAATTTTTGGGTAAAATTTATTTTTAATCAATACTAAAGAAATTTAAAGAAGTTTGAGCATAATTACAAGTAATTTACAAAGTGGTTACTCTACGAATACCGGTTACTTAAACTATTTTTGAGCGGTTACTCGGCTAAAATATAAGAATTTTTCGGTTAAAGTGAGTTTTCATCAACGCTTAAGAAATTTAAGGAAGTTTGAGACTAATAACGAGTAATTTTTTAAGTGGTTACTTTACGAATGCCGGTTACTTAAACTATTTTTAAGTGGTTATTTGCCTAAAATATAAGAATTTTTGTGTAAAAGTTATTTTTCTTCAATGCTAAAGAAATTTAAAGAAGTTTGAGCCTAATAACGAGTACTTTAAAAAGTGGTTACTTTACGAATACCGGTTACTTAAACTATTTCTAAGTGGTTATTCGCCTAAAATATAAGAATTTTTGGGTAAAAGTTATTTTTCTTCAATTCTAAAGAAATTTAAAGAAGTTTGAGCCTAATAACAAGTAATTTACAAAGTGGTTACTCTACGAATACCGGTTACTTAAACTATTTTTGAGCGGTTATTCGCCTAAAATATAATAATTTTTGGGTAAAAGTTATTTTTCTTCAATGCTAAAGAAATTTAAAGAAGTTTGAGCCTAATAACGAGTACTTTATAAAGTGGTTACTTTACGAATACCGGTTACCTAACCCATTTTTAAGCGGTTACTCATCTAAACTATAAGAATTTCTGGGTAAAATTCAGTTTTCATCAATACTAAAAAAATTTAAAGAATTTTAAGCCTAATAACGAGTACTTTACAAAGTGGTTACTTTTTCTTAAATCGATTAAACAGATTTTTAATCGATTACTCGTCATAAAATTGATTTATGTAGCACAAGCTCTAAAACAAAAGTGCTTTAAAGCTTTGCTTTACAATTCTAAATTTTTAAAAAGCTTTCACTTAGAAATCAAAATTAAAACTTTAAGCTTAAAGCTTATTTAAGCTCGTCCAGACGAAAAAAGTGCCAACTTACCATTTCTTAACGAAATCACACTGGACACTGCCTCGGGCATAGTAGAGCCGGCAGCCAAAAAGGTGAGACCCATAATAATTGTGGGTACATTAATGGCGACACCTTTAAAGGGAAATAAAAAATTATTACAATTTTCAAAATATAAACTTTTAAAAGCTTTCACTTACCAAACGAGGTCAACATCCAAACGATCATATAGGCATTGGCGCCAATTGCAATGATGCACATTATAAAGGATAACGGATATAATTTACGATATTTTATGGGATGGGGTATCAGTATGGACAGGATAAATTTAAGTGGGAAAGTAAAGAACCACCAAAATTTCATAAGCTTTGATTCGCCGCGAGGTAGAGAATAAAGACTGGGAGGAAGTGTCATTGTCTGTTCATCACCATCCCCTAAAAATGGAAGAAGAAAAAAAGAAGTGAGTATTAAGCGTATGTCTTTAGAAGGTTTTTGACAAAAAAGGCTTTATGAAAGCTTTTTAACAAAAAAACTCAAAGAAAGCTTTTAATACATAAAGGCTCAATAAAAGCTTTTAATACAAAAAAGCTTAATACAAGCTTTTAGTACAAAAAAAGCTCAATACAAGCTTTTTATACAAAAAAAGCTCAATGAAAGCTCTTAATACAAAAATGCTTAATTAAAGCTTTTTATAGAAAAAAGCTCAAAGACAGATTTTTGTATAAAAAAAGCTCAATGATTTTAGTATAAAAAACTTAATGAAAGCTTTTTTTATAAAAAAGCCCAATGGAAGCTTTTTAATAAAAAGCTAAATGAAAGCTTTTTAATGAAAAGCGAAATGAAAGCTTTTTAATAAAAAGTTAAATGAAAGCTTTTTAATAAAACGTTAAATGAAAGCTTTTTAATAAAACGTTAAATGAAAGCTTTTTAATAAAACGTTAAATGAAAGCTTTTTAATAAAAAGCTAAATGAAAGCTTTTTAATAAAAAGCTAAATGAAAGCTTTTTAATAAAAAGCTAAATGAAAGCTTTTTAATAAAAATCTAAATGAAAGCTTTTTAACAAAAAAAGCTCCATGAAAGCTTTTTAACAAAAAAAGCTCCATGAAAGCTTTTAATACAAAAAGCTCAATTTAAGCTTTTCTTAAAAAAAACTTAATACATAAAAACATTTAATACAAAAAAACTTAATAAAAGCCTTTAATAAAGCTTTTAATACCAGAAAGCTTTATAAAAGCTTTTAATACAAAAAAAGCTTTAAATTTGTACTAGACAACTTTACTTATTTAACTTTAAACAAGTAGCTAAACTTAAAGCTTTTTATAATTTAAGCTTTCTAGTAATTTATACTTACAGCTTTTCGAATGTGTCAGATTCACCCTCGACGACATGGAATTGGTATTTTCGGGCAGATTAATAACAAATAAACCATTACCGGTCAAGGGATCTTTCTTGGTGGGCAATTTAGCTTTGGCACTGTTCTCTGGTGGTTCAGTTAAATCTAAAAGTTATCAAAATTTATTATAAAACTGTCTGAAAGCTTTCTACTACAAAACAAAAGCTTACCGTATCTGGTCGAAAAGCAGCAACCCAATTTATCCTCCACAAACACTCTGATGGCGGGCATAAATTTATTATTATTGAAAGTAACCAAATAGTAAATGATCAGGAAACCCATCATGACACAGGATTCGGTGAAGGTGATCTCACCACCCCAGGCCAATATGATCAGAATGATAGTGTTGAAACCGTAGATAAAGCAATCGCGAGCAATGGGCCACCAATCGAGTTGGACGGGCTGAAATAGAATTTTAAGATTATTTTTAATATGGTAGTTTGGGACAAGTAACGATTAATGTTTGATCGTATTCGAATAACAAGCAACGATTAATTTCCAAAGCGGTTACTTTTTGGTAATTTTGATTTTAAATGAAAATTTGTAATACTAATGGATTTCTGTTAAAATGTTATCGAAATGTAGCTAAAAATTTTATTCGAATAATGATTACTTAGTCAAATTTAAAGCGGGTACCCGCCTTAATTTAGATAATTTTAAGAAAATTTAATTGTGTGAGTGATTAAGACTAAAATTATGATAATTTTAAGCAAGTAACGATTAATTTCCAAAGTGGTTACTTTTTGGCAATTTTGATATTTAGTGAAAAATTTTAATATAAATGGATTTCTCTTAAAATTTTATTGAAATATAGATACAAATTTTATTCGAATAACGATTACTTAGTTGAATTTGAAGCGGGTACCCGCCTTAAATGTGAAAATTTTAAGAAATTTTTATAGTTAAAGTGTTTTATAATGAATTTAGTGTATTTAGGGATAAGTAACCATTAATTTCTGAAGTGGTTACTTTTTCCGAATATTGATTTTAGGGGAAATTTTTTGTTATAAATATATTTGTCTTAAAATGTTATCAAAATTTTTATAAAAAATTTATTCGAATAACGGTTATTTATGCAAATTTGGAGCGGGTACCCATCTAAATTTCGATAATTTTAAGAAATTTTCATAATTAAAGTGATTTAAATTGAATTTAGAGTTGTTTGGACTAAGTAACCATTAATTTTCAAAGTGGTTACTTTTCGAAATATTGATATTAGGGGAAATTTTTTTGTTATAAATGTATTTGTCTTAAAATTTTATCAAAACCTTTATAAAATTTATTCGAATAACGGTTACTTATGCAAATTTCAAGCGGGTACCCGCCTTAATTTTAATAATTTTTAAAAATTTTCTTAATTAAAGTGATTTAAAATGAATTTGGAGTTGTTTGGGCCAAGTAACCACTAATTTTTAAAGTGGTTACTTTTTCCCAATTTTGATTTTAGGTGAAATTTTTTGTTACAAATGTATTTGTCTTAAAATTTTATCAAAATATTTATTAAAAATTTATTCGAATAACGGTAACTTATGCAAATTTGAAGCGGGTACCCATCTAAATTTCGGTAATTTTAAAGAATGTTCATAGTTAAAGTGATTTAAAATGAATTTAGTGTATTTTGGGATAAGTAACCATCAATTTTCAAAGTGGTTACTTTTTCGAAACATTGATATTAGGGAAAATTTTTTGTTATAAATGTATTTGACTTAAAATTTTATCAAAATATTTATTAAAAATTTATTCGAATAACGGTTATTTATGCAAATTTGAAGCGGGTACCCGTCTAAATTTCGGTAATTTTAAAGAATGTTCATAGTTAAAGTGATTTAAATTGAATTTAGAGTTGTTTGGACTAAGTAACGATTAATTTTCAAAGTGGTTACTTTTCGTCAATATTGATTTTAGGTAAAATTTTTTGTTATAAATGTATTTGTCTTAAAATTTTATCAAAATATTTATAAAAAATTTATTCGAATAACGGTTACTTATGCAAATTTCAAGCGGGTACCCGCCTTAATTTTAATAATTTTTCAAAATTTTCTTAATTAAAGTGATTTAAAATGAATTTGGAGTTGTTTGGGCCAAGTAACCACTAATTTTTAAAGTGGTTACTTTTTCCCAATTTTGATTTTAGGTGAAATTTTTTGTTATAAATGTATTTGTCTTAAAATTTTATCAAAATATTTATTAAAAATTTATTCGAATAACGGTAATTCATGCAAATTTGAAGCGGGTACCCATCTAAATTTCGGTAATTTTAAAGAATGTTCATAGTTAAAGTGATTTAATATGAATTTAGTGTATTTTGGGATAAGTAACCATTAATTTTCAAAGTGGTTACTTTTTCAGAATATTGATTTTAGGGGATCTTGTTATAAATGTATTTAGGGGATCTTGTTATAAATGTATTTGTCTTAAAATTTTATCAAAATATTTATCAAAAATTTATTCGAATAATGGTTACTTATGCAAATTTGAAGCGGGTACCCGCCTTAATTTTGCTAGTTTTAAGAAATTTTCATAATTAAAGTGATTTAAAATGAATTTAGAGTTGTTTGGGCTAAGTAACCACTAATTTTTAAAGTGGTAACTTTTACGTAATTTGGATTTTAGGTGAAATTTTTTGTTATAAATATATTTGTCTTAAAATTTTATTGAAAAATAATTAAAAATTGTATGCGAATAACGATTACTTAATAGAATTTGAAGCGGGTACCCGTCTTAATTTTGATAATTTTTGAAAATTTTCATATTTGAAGTGATTTAAATTGAAAATAGAGTTATTTGGGCTAAGTAACCACTAACTTTCAAAGTGGTTACTTTTTCCCAATTTCGATTTTAGGTGAAATTTTTTGTTATAATTTCACTTTTCATGGGATTTAATGAAAGTTTACTTAAGAATTTTGTTAAAATTAGGATTACTTAACAGAAATTAAAACGGTTACTCGTGTTAAATATTATATTTTTAAGATATTTACTCACCTTATTGATAGCCAAGGCCGCCAAACTTGCCACACCTAGTGTATTAAACATCAGTGAACCAATAATGGTGCCCAAACCCATATCCGAATGTGTTATCAAGGTACTAATGGTATTGGTGAAAAATTCCGGCATAGAAGTGGCCGTAGCCATAAATGTGGCTGCCGCCACATCTTTCGACAAATTCAAATCCTCACAAATACACTCGACGGTGGGTAAAAAGTAATCGTTGCATATAATGGCCAATAGGATAAAGAAGTAAACGGCAGCTATGACGTGCAAAACAACCCAACCCTGGCGCAGTTGTTCCACTAGAAGGAAAATAAATGTTAAATTCAATTGATAAATAAATTTAAAGTAAAACACGTAAATTATAGAAAAATTATTTATAATCGATTTTAAGTTGTACTTATCTAAAATCTTTATTAAAAAATATGATTGTATATTTTTAATAATTTTATATAGAAAAGCACGGAAGCACTTGACTTCAGTTGACTCCCAAGTTAACCACACTGGGAGATATGCCTTATCTTTAGATGATAATTTATTTATACATTATTGAAGTTGCATTTTTTTGTTGTACATAAAAAACCACAATGGCTGAACAAAATGGCGTTTAGAATTTACAGTTAAGTGTCTAGAATATTGTCAAGCTTAAATTTTTGAAGTGCTTTTTTTTAGAAGAAAATTCAAGTTCATGGTTATTTAGCTTTAAAATATCAAGAGATCTTTGTTAACTGATAACTTCAAACTGCAAATTTATTGATTTAGTGTTGTAACTTTAAGAAAGTGGTTACTATTTTTTAATATTGTTTTTAGACGAAAAATTTATTAGGTTTTAGTTTTCTTACAAAATTAAATGAATTTTTGTCAAAAATTTTTTCTTAAAAACCGATTACTTTATACAAATTTAAACGGTTACTCGTGTAATATTTGTTAATTCTTGAAAAATTTTATGTGTTATGCCTAACTATCTCAATTTTAAGCATTTTTAGCCATGTAACGAGTATTTTCCAAAGTCGTTACTTTTAGCCAATTTTGATTATAGCCAAAAAATTTTCAATATAATAGTTTTCCTGTAAAATTTTAAGAAATTTTATTAAAAAATTTAATAAAAAAAACGGTTACTTAATTCTTATTTAAACGGTTACTCGTGTAAAATTTGTTAATTCCTAGAAAATTTAATATGTTATGCGTAATTAATTCAATTTTAAGCATTTTTAGCCAAGTAACGAGTATTATCCAAAGTGGTTACTTTTGGCCAATTTTGATTTTTAGCAAACATTTTCTTAGGCAACGTTTTTCTAACGAATTTTTAAGAAACTTTGTCGAAAAATTTCGTTTAAAAACCTATTACTTTTCATAGTTTTAAACGGTTACTCGCCTAAAAATTCAAAATTTCTTAAAATTTTTATAAGGAATGTAAATAAGAGCTAATTTCAGAACGTTTCTGCTAAGTAACGATTAATTTTGAAAGTGGTTACTTTTTGTCAATATTGATTTTATGGGGAAATTTTCTTTGTCAATTAATTTCTAATGAAATTTAAAGAATATCTGTTGAAAATTTTTCTTAAAAAACCGATTACTTTTCATAGGTTTAAACGGTTACTCGCTTAAAAATTCAAAATTTCTTAAAATTTGTATAGGGAATATAAATAGAAGTTCATTTTAAGACATTCCTGCTAAGTAACGATTAATTGTGGAAGTGGTTACTTTTCGCCATTATTGATTTGATGAAAAAATTGTCTTTGCCAATCAATTTTTAATTAAATTTAAAGAATATCTGTTGAAAATTTTTGTTAAAAAACTGATTACTTTTCGTAGTTTTAAACGGTTACTCGCTTAAAACGTTAAAATTTCTTAAAAATTTTATAAGGGAGGTAAATAGAAGATAATTTTAGGACGTTTCTGATAAGTAACGATTAATTTTGTGGTTTTTGTGGAAGTGGTTACTTTTCGCCAATATTGATTTTATGAGAAAAATTTCCTTGCCAATCCGTTTCTAATGAAATTTTATGAATTTCTGTTGAAATTTTTTCTTAAAAAACCGATTATTTTTCATAGTTTTAAACGGTTACTCGCTTAAAAATTCAAAATTTCTTAAAAATTTTATAAGGTAGGTAAATAGAAGTTAGTTTAAAGTAGTTTTAGATAAGTAACGATTCATTTTGAAAGTGGTTACTTTTGGCTAATTATGATTTTTTAAGGGAAATTTCTTAGGGAATGGATTTTTGTGAAATTTTTAAAGCAATTCTATTAGTTTTTCTATTTTAAACGGTTACTCGCTATAGATTTTGTCAAATTTATAAATTCAAACTTTGTAAATTAGAATTTATGGACTTTTTAAATTGAAAAACCTTGTTTTCTAATAAAATCAATGTTAAATTTATTTCAATTTACTAATTTAATTTATCACCATGTTAATGGACTTGTTAGCAAGTATGATGGGTTATTATTTAGCAAAGTAATGGGTAATAATTTATAATTAATATTAATTATATACATAGTTTATATGAAATATATTTTTTGTGTTCAATATTAAAAAACCTTCCACTTACCTGTAAAATATTCAGGAAATTCATCTAACGGTGAGTCTTCGGTTTCATTGGGACACGTTTCGCGTGGCACTCCCTTTAACAGCATAAAATCATCCAAATTGCGAAAAAATGAGTTAAAATTACTTGTAGCATTTTCTTCTGTAAGTAGATAAAGAGAAAAAATGTTATTAATTATTAGGGGCTCATTATCGTGACATGTTTCATAATTAAAAGAAATCCCCCTAATCACAAGAAAATCACCGCCTAAATGGCTTTTTTTTCATAGATAAAATTCCTCGTTTAAAAGTATTTATTGTTAAGAACCACGATTGTTTAAATTAAAATAATTAATAGGTAATTTAATTAATTACTTAGAAATTATTAAATTTAAAAAAAAAACTTCAGTTTCAAATAGTTAATTGTTTAAATTTAAAGCTTTTTTTGTTATTATTTAAAGATAAAATTATATTTGTTCCACAAGGTTTTAAAAAATATGTAATTATTGACACATTGTTTTTATTGTAAACTCAAATTCCAAACACGAAAATTTTCTTTTTATGATATTTATTATGAATAAAAAAGATTAAAAAAAACTTGAAGTTACAATTGTTAACAATTAAAACGGTTAATTTGAAAAGATAAAAACAATTTAGTCATTCCTTTCATTATCTAGCAACGTAATAGCTACACGATTCTAATAACCAAGAAAAATTTTATATGGAAATTACTTCTTTTACATTAACATATAATTAAGTATTAAATACTTTGATTAATGCATTAATTTAATTAGTTTTATGCATATTAGAAAAATAATACGCAAAATAAATCATGTTATTTTTCACTCATACGTCATGATGTTCTTTGAAACGCTAACCAAACTTATCAATAGCATTAACATAATTTGATTGATAAATTTTTGGCGCCAAAAACTATATTCACTAAAGATTTATTAACTACCTTGGTAATGGGTATGACTTGATAACACTAATCAAGACCACACTGGTATATGATGTTGTCATATTGACTATATATACAAGGTTCAATACTAGTTCCGTTCTGTTCCTGTTAATGTTCTAGTTCTGTTCTAGGTCTAGTTTATAGTCTATTCTATAGTGTAGGCTGTAGTCTAGTTAATAGTCTAATCTATAGTCTACGCTATAGTCTAGTCTATAGTCTAGTCTATAGCCTAGTCTATAGTCTAGTCTATAGTCTAGTCTATAGTCTAGTCTATAGTCTAGTCTATAGTCTAGTCTATAGTCTAGTCTATAGTCTAGTCTATAGTCTAGTCTATAGTCTAGTCTATAGTCTAGTCTATAGTCTAGTCTATAGTCTAGTCTATAGTCTAGTCTATAGTCTAGTCTATAGTCTAGTCTATAGTCTAGTCTATAGTCTAGTCTATAGTCTAGTCTATAGTCTAGTCTATAGTCTAGTCTATAGTCTAGTCTATAGTCTAGTCTATAGTCTAGTCTATAGTCTAGTCTATAGTCTAGTCTATAGTCTAGTCTATAGTCTAGTCTATAGTCTAGTCTATAGTCTAGTCTATAGTCTAGTCTATAGTCTAGTCTATAGTCTAGTCTATAGTCTAGTCTATAGTCTAGTCTATAGTCTAGTCTATAGTCTAGTCTATAGTCTAGTCTATAGTCTAGTCTAGTCTATAGTCTAGTCTATAGTCTAGTATATAGTCTAGTCTATGGTCTAGTCTATAGTCTAGTCTATAGTCTAGTCTATAGTCTAGTCTATAGTCTAGTCTATAGTCTAGTCTATAGTCTAGTCTATAGTCTAGTCTATAGTCTAGTCTATAGTCTAGTCTATAGTCTAGTCTATAGTCTAGTCTATAGTCTAGTCTATAGTCTAGTCTATAGTCTAGTCTATAGTCTAGTCTATAGTCTAGTGTATAGTCTAGTCTATAGTCTAGTTAGTCTATAGTCTAGTCTAGTCTATAGTCTAGTCTAGTCTATAGTCTAGTCTGTAGTCTAGTCTATAGTCTAGTCTATAGTCCAGTCTATAGTCTAGTCTATAGTCTCTATCTAGTCTAGTCCTATAGTCTAGTCTATAGTCTAGTCTATAGTAGTCTATCGTATAGTCTAGTATATGTCTAGTCGTTAGTCTATAGTATAGTATAGTCTAGTCTAGTCTAGTCTAGTCTATAGTCTAGTCTATAGTCTAATCTATAGTCTAGTCTATAGTCTAGTTTATAGTCTAGTCTAGTCTATAGTCTAGTCTATAGTCTAGTCTGTAGTCTAATCTATAGCCTAGTATATAGTCTAGTCTATAGTCTAGTCTATAGTCTAGTCTATAGTCTAGTCTATATTCTAGTCTTTAGTTTAGTCTATAGTCTACTCATATTCTAGTTCATTTCTAGTTTACTGCAGTATAGTCTAGTCTATAGACTAGTCTAGTTATAGTCTAGTCTATAGTTTAATCTATAGTACATATAGTCTTTAGTTTAGTCTATAGTATAGTCTATAGTCTAGTCTGTAGTCTGGTCTATGGTTTAGTCTTTAGTGTAGTTTATAGTCTAGTTTATAGTTTCTAGTCTATATCCTAGGCTATTGTCTAGTCTATAGTCTATTCGGTAATCTAGTCTATAGTCTATTCGGTAGTCTAGTCTATAGTCTAGTCTACAGTCTAGTCTATAGTCTAGTCTATAGTCTAGTCTATGGTATAGTCTATTGTCTAGTCTATAGTCCAGTTTATAGTCTAGTCTATAGTCTAGTCTATGGTCTAGTCTATAGTCTAGTCTATAGTCTAGTCTATTGTCTAGTCTATAGTCTAGTCTATAGTCTAGTCTATAGTCTAGTCTATAGTCTAGTCTATAGTCTAGTCTATAGTCTAGTCCATAGTCTAGTCTATAGTCTAGTCTATAGTCTAATCTATAGTCTAGTCTATAGTCTAGTCTATAGTGTAGTCTATAGTCTAGTCTATAGTCTAGTCTATAGTGTAGTCTATAGTCTAGTCTATAGTCTAGTCTATAGTCTAGTCTATAGTCTAGTCTATAGTCTAGTCTATAGTCTAGTCTATAGTCTAGTCTATAGTCTAGTCTATAGTCTAGTCTATAGTCTAGTCTATAGTCTAGTCTATAGTCTAGTCTATAGTCTAGTCTATAGTCTAGTCTATAGTCTAGTCTATAGTCTAGTCTATAGTCTAGTCTATAGTCTAGTCTATAGTCTAGTCTATAGTCTAGTCTAGTCTATAGTCTAGTCTATAGTCTAGTCTACAGTCAAGTCTACAGTCTAGTCTAGTCTAGTCTATAGTCTAGTCTATAGTCTAGTCTATAGTCTAGTCTATAGTCTAGTCTATAGTCTAGTCTATAGTCTAGTCTATAGTCTAGTCTATAGTCTAGTCTATAGTCTAGTCTATAGTCTAGTCTATAGTCTAGTCTATAGTCTAGTCTATAGTCTATTCTATAGTCTAGTCTATAGTCTAGTCTATAGTCTAGTCTATAGTCTAGTCTATAGTCTAGTCTATAGTCTAGTATATAGTCTAGTCTATAGTCTAGTCTATAGTCTAGTCTATAGTCTATAGTCTAGTCTATAGTCTAGTCTATAGTCTAGTCTATAGTCTAGTCCATAGTGTAGTCTATAGTATAGTCTATTGTCTAGCCTATAGTCTAGCCTTAGATTTCCTATCGACCACCTTCCCGTCTGCCTAGTCATAAACACATGGCATTAGTTATACATTTGTTGAAAATAATTTGTTAATTGTCAATTTGTAGTTTTTTTTTTTCATTTTTGTTTATAAATCTGACATTGACATACACAATACACTCATATCTATTCTTCAGCTGCCTGCATTCAACAGAGCCATACACAAAGAAAACCGTTTTGTTTATTTAATCAAGAGAAAAAAGGTAAATAATACTACGTCATAAATTAATAAACTGTAATAAAAAAATATCAATAAAAAATAATATCATAAAATCACCCTCATTATTATGAGGCTGATGGCTCAAACACTGATGGGTAAATGGGGCGAAGGGGAGAACGTAAAGTATTAAAAGTACTTTTTGTTTTACGTTCGCAGTAGTATAACACATATTTGGTGTAGCGGAGAAGGTTTTGATTTGATAATAATATTTTGTTAAATTTTCATTGTTTATATAGGATTTTTGTTGTTAATAATTTACAATTTGTTTTAATACTCTACTGTCTGTGTTTGTTTAAGTTTGGAATATTACATATAGTTTGAAGTGTTCTTTAAAGACCTATAAATTACGGTCATTTTTGAGGAGAATCAAAAGTACTTGAGCTTTTAAATTTGTTTAGTGTTTAAAGAGGCTTTAAGAGTATTAGCTGTATCAAAACTTCCAGTTCTTGCGAACGTGATAAGTTCCGAACTGAGGGTAAAGTCTTTGCATTTCTATTGTACATAATAGTAAACTATAGTAAAATGTTTTTATTTAAAAACCGGTTACTGGTTTGTTGTTGTTTAATTATTTTAAATTTTTTTATCAAAAGCTTTTTTGTAACACTTAGCAAATGTAATATTTTGTGTGTTTTAAGTTTTGTTGAGTAGCACTTGAAAATTGTTAAATGTTTACTTAGACTAAGAACCGGTTACTTAATGGCTGTGTTTTATAATAATTTAACTAAATTATAGTATTTATATTGTAAATTGGAGTTTTAAAGAGCGGCTAATGAAAAATAGTGTTTTAAAAATGTGGTTACTTTAAAAAAAGTAACCGGTTACTTTTTAAAACTTTAATTATTTCTAAGAAAACTACATATGCATACTAATCGAATTTTTATGGTAGAATTTTCTAGTTCTGTTTCTAGTTCTTTCTAGTTCTAGTTCTGTTCTAGTTCTGTTCTAGTTCTGTTCTAGTTCTGTTCTAGTTCTGTTCTAGTTCTGTTCTAGTTCTGTTCTAGTTCTGTTCTAGTTCTGTTCTAGTTCTGTTCTAGTTCTGTTCTAGTTCTGTTCTATTCTGTTCTAGTTCTGTTCTAGTTCTGTTCTGTTCTGTTCTGTTCTAGTTCTGTTCTGTTCTAGTTCCGTTCTGTTCTAGTTCCGTTCTGTTCTAGTTCCGTTCTGTTCTAGTTCCGTTCTGTTCTAGTTCCGTTCTGTTCTAGTTCCGTTCTGTTCTAGTTCAGTTCTAGTTCTGTTCTAGTTCTGTTCTAGTTCTGTTATTTGTTCTGTTCTAGTTCTGTTCTAGTTCTGTTCTA